CGGCGGCGGCGGCGGCGGCGGCAGAGAAGCCGGCTCTCGCCAGGGCTCGGACCCGGCGTCAGGCGACGCGGAGAGGGGGGTTGGTGGGGACCGGCGTGCGGCAAGTGATTGGGACTCGAACTTCCTCCCCAACGCCAGAGGCGTCTCTAGTTAAAGGCAAAGACATTATTTCTGGTTTTCCCTACTCCCGCTTTTCCCCTGCCTCTCCCCGGTATCCAAACTACGGGAGTCAACTTCTCCATGAAGGGACGTAGGGCTGCGTGAGAAGCCAGTCTGGCGCTAACAGTGCCTTCCAGCGGCCTCTGTTTCGCTCTGAATATAGCTGATTCAAGATGTGGCTCACGGTGTACCCTCTTCCAGGCAAAAAGATACCCTTTATTGCAGCTTGTCCCCAATCTCTTTACCTCCTCTTTAACCCAGCTGTATTCTAAAGTATAAAGTCCAGAGGGTTATACAAAGCTGTCATCCTCTAGTCTACAGTATCCTCTCTCCACCTGCTGGGGGGGGCGGGGGGGCGATGGAAAGGCACCGTCCTATTATTTTAAAAAAGAGGAGCTTTGCCGTATTACACACAGCTGCACCTGAAGTTTTCAGTCCATGTAAAGTGTATGTGTTAAAAACACACCTAATCCAATGAAATTTTTTTGATAAAACACTTGTTCCTTTCAGGTCTGTGAATTTAGCTATCTTTAAAAAATTGATTCAGAGTCTAGAACTTAGCTTTCAAGAGAAAGTGGTAGTTTAAGTTGACATTCTATTGGTTTTTATAATATGATCTTTAAATTCCCATAGTCTGTTTCTGCACATGACCATTTGCTTGAAAACTATGTCCAACAGTAGTTATCCTGTGAGTTTTGGTTTACAGGTGATACTGTCCTTTTTCTAACAAAAAAATTAGTATCTTTATTGGAATAATTCAAATATCACAGCCTTTTAAATATCCACTTTATGACTTTGAGTAAACTTATTTGCTTCTGTAACCATGTGCTGAAATATATTTTAAGTTAAAAGTCACAGTTTTACCACATATGCCTATAATCTCACAAGGACCGCAAATCCATTACTCAGAAGGCAGAGGCAGAGGGATTGCCCTGAATTCAGGCCATCCTGCACTCTGCACTACAAAGGAAGACCTTGTCTTAATTTAAAAAATTAAAAAAAAAAAAACCTTTTATTTATTTTTGTGTTTTTGAGACAGGTCTCGCTAAGCAGTTCAGGCTAGTCTTCTGCTTACTTTGTAGCCCATGCTGGTCTCCAGCATACAAAGCTGCTTCAGCCTCCTGAGTACTGGGATTGCAGGCCAGTTCTGGGATCACAGGTGTGTGCCACCACCCCTGGCCTAAAATACAAACTTAAAAGTTAATAAATACCACATAATCCAGAAAAATAGTAACGAAGGGCCTAATAAACCCTATAATCTTTTTTTCCCCTGTGTGCTTTACATTTCTAGTGCATTCACTCATTTTTTATTTCACGTACCATACAGTTCACTCATTAAAATTAATTTTGGCTACTGGGCACATTGGCCCACAGCTATAAGCCCAGCACAGGAGTATGGGTGTGCGTTTGAGGCTGTCCTGGGTTACATAGTAAGTTCAAGGCCAGCCTGAACTGCATAGGGAGACCCTGTCTCAAAAACACACACACACAAAAATTATTCAAAGTTCTGTAGCCATTGCCAAAATCAACCTTAGAACATTTTCACCACCCAAAAAGAAACTTGCTCTTCACTGTAGGGTCAGTCTTCATTTCCCAGCTACCTAGCCCCAAGCAACATCTTTCTGTCTTTTTGGATTTGCCTTTTCTGTACATTTCATATAAATGAAATCATACAATTTGTGATCTTTTATGCCTGATTTCTTTGGAAATAGACTGTTTTCAAAGTTTATCTGTGTTGTAACAATAATGTCAATATGTCCATCCTTCTGAGTGATATTCCAACATATGGATATATTGTATTACATTTATCCATTCCTCAATCCATGAACATTTGCGTTATTAACATCTCTTAGCTACTATATATAACACTGCTATGAACATACATGTGCATTGTTGTGTGGATGTATGTTTTCATTTCCCTTGGTTATGAACCCACGAGTGGAATTGCTGGGTCATATGGGACTTTATTGGACCACCTTTATTGGACTTCCAGGCTATTTTCTAAAGTTACCCTTGTTTTTAAAATTTGTCTAATCCCTTGTTCTGTGTTTCTTGCCACTTCACATGAAGTGCTGAGTCAATATTAGAATATGCCATGATTTAAAACATATAAGTAAAATATGTATTAAACAGCTATTTGGACAAGTGCTTTGGGCAGCCTTGAGTAACTGATACTCCTGTATATAATTTAGAGTGTTTCCACTTTTCCATCTGATGACATGACTTTTGACTCTAATACACACTCTTTACTGTAACTTACTCATAGTCACATATACCAGGCAAAGGTAGATACCACATAAAGTCAGTGATAGAATGCTTGTGTAGAGTATAACAGGCCCTGAGTTGGATTTCAAGCACTGAAATTCAAAACAGAAAACAGCTTCTGCGAAATCACATACAGTACTTGTAATGACACAGAAATACTGTTTATTATTCTTAGAGAACATTACAATGGTCTGTTTTAAGTATGTGCTAATTAATGTCCATGCCTGTCTCAGAACATAATTATTGTACCTATTTTTCCCCCTGTAACTGTGGTCACTGTGTTACATTTATAATTATGTAGTATACAACAAATTCTAGGGACACATCGCTTTTTTGGTTTATGTATTTTGTTCTAGGTGTTATGATAGCTGTTTCATTGGGAGGTCTTTGGAAAGAAGTATAGACCAGTGCTGTATAGCATCTCCCCCCACCCCTCTTTTACTGGGGATTAAACCCAGGGTCTTTGTCTTGAGCTGAATCCTCAACCCTTTTTTAAAAAATGTGAGACAAGTTCTCTCTTAAGTCATTCATGGTGGATCATTCTGCCTCAGCCTTCTAGAGTGCTAGCATTACAAGGTATGTGCCACCTCCCCTGGGTATACAATTAATTTTATATATCCATAATACCATTATGACACGTAATCTGTGGTTTTTAAAAAATCGAGATATTTTATATTATTTTCATACTAAGTTTTCAGAATCCAGTTTGTATTTTTATGATTATAGTCTTTGAACTATTAAGCATTTTAAAAAAATTGATCTAATAGTTTGTTTGATTAGAAATGATGAGCACAAAGTTCTGGAGTTTAACTTGTATGTGACCTTGAAGGAAATCACTTAGTCTTAGGATTCTTTTATCTTCTAAAACTGAAGGTGCTTGATGCCTGCTTCGAGAGTTGTAAAGATTAATAGGTCACTGTTAGGGAACTCTCTAGCAATTTTCTTTTGGAGGAAAAGCAAATAATTTAATAAGATTCAGTATAATTTTTATTACCTGATCTGTAGTTGGCTGGTTTTGTGTTTGTGTATGTGTGTCTGTATATAGTTTTAAGTCATGTTGAACTCCCAAGTTACATTGAATAGTTAGACAGTGCTTTTTAATAGAGGGACATGCATTTACATATTGAAGGGCATTTGGGTTCAGAGAATTAGTGAACCTTTTTTTTTTTTTCTTGCGGAACCGGGGATTGAACTCAGGCCCTTGCACTTGCCAGGGAGGCGCTTACTCCACTTAGCCATCTCCCTGGCCAACATTTTTTTTTTAAAGTAGAGGAAATTCTTTCACACAGTTTCTACTAAGCTTGAGTAGTTTTCATAAAAGTTTTGAGAGTGTTTGGCTAAAATAGAGTTCAAGATATTAGAAAGATAATTAGATTTTGGGAATTTTTTTTTGTTTTTTATGTATTTAGTACAGGGTCCATAAAGTCTCACTTTATCACAATGCAGATCAGACTTGTAGTGATCTTCCTGTTTTCAGCCTCCCAGGCGCTGGGTATATAGGCATGTGCCACCATGCCCAGTCTTAATTGCCATCTCAGCATGCCCCAGGGGTCGGACTGTACAGCAGGCCAGGGATAGAACCCCCTGCCCCTGCAGGTGATCTGGCCAGCCCCTGGGAAAGAAAATTTACCCTGAATATAAAGCAGTACTAAATTACTATAGAATTAAATTTACAGTTCACATAGCATAAGATGTGAAGTCAGTTGAACTTTAAAAATAGTTTGCTTGGTTGGCAAGAGATTAATAAAATTGATCAGTTCTTTTATTTAGAAATAGTTTTGTGATTTGTGTTAGTGTTCAGAGGGAAAAGGATTGTTAAGCTATTAAGTGTCGTTAACTTTTAGAGACTGACCTCTCTCATCACAAATCTTGGAACACATTAACTGTACCTAAAATAACTGCTGTCTAATTTTTCATGTATTAGTCCAAGCATGTGACAATATGAAATATATGATAGAAATATACTTAGTAATTAGATTGTTCTTTTGTCTCCTGCTACCTTTTTTGGTTTTTGAGGCAGTCAACTTGAGTTATTTCATTGATAATATTTTTTCATTAAAATGTTTTATTTGGCTCATTCTCTGAGCCAGATTATTTTTTCTTTTTCTTGCTTCTTTTTTTTTTTTTTTTTTTTTTATGTATCTGATATGGAGTCTCATTACGCAGCTTGGACTCAGTGATTCTCCGTGTTTTTAGCCTCCCAGGATTACAGGTGTG